TCCCGCGCGCAGTGGACCCGCAACCATAAATAATAATAAAATAATAATAAATAATTAAAAAAACAATTATAATCGAAAAGGATGGCCTGTCTTGGATTGGTTGGCCGTAAATGAATTAGGGGCTCGCTGCACTACTCATGACTCGTGAAAAAAATCAAGAGTGCGGCATGAGTTGTCAGAGTCCCGAAATGGCCTACAGTTCGGCCGTGGCTGCACTTACTCGTGATAGTCCTGCTCATGAAGCACTCTTGAGACGTTGGCCGTTGTCGTAGAGCGCAGTGCAGCGTGGTTTGTCCGCCCAGACCCAGGCTTGCTCTAGAAATCCCGTGCCCTTTCAAGAGACCGTCCGACCACCCTTGCAAAAACCAAGGGCAGGCAGGAGAGCAAGAGTGCTCTAGATGAGTTTGTCCGACAGCGCCCTGACAGCTCATGAAATGCAATTTCACGAGAGACAAGGCAAGAGTAGTGCAGCGACCACAACTCTTGACGTTTGCAAGAGTGAGGTCTCACAGCTCTTGATGCGGTTTCCGACGGCCAATTCACGAGTAAGTGCAGCTATGCGCACCTCATGAAAAAGCACATTTCATGAGTAGTGCAGCGAGGCCCTTAGCCTCTTTCTTTTCTTTTTATCATTTCTCAATTCAAGTTCAATTGCAAACTGTGTCATTCCTCATCGTGGATGATAGTGGAATGTTTTTTTTTTTTTTGGGCCCAGTGCCCAAGGCAATTACATAATGTAGCTAGTCAAAAACAGGGACAAAAGGTTGTCCTGCCCCACCAGGGCCATGGTCCCATTAGCAACGAGTGTCGGATTGAATGCCTGAATCTGGACGGGTTTGAGGACAGGAGCACGAAATCAAGATAGAACTGTTTTTCTGTATCTCTGCATTAAACATGGCCAGATTCAGGATTTCTATCCTATCCCCTTTGCTAGTGGGACCACGGCCCAGTAGCTCGGAGCCCCAACCCTGCATGCACAGTGTCCTCACTCTTCACCCCAACACGGCACCAGCCCTGCAATTATAACTCGTTTTGTGACTCTACGTTAGGACGTTGATCTTTCTCAGAAATTTCATTCCATTTTACTGTTTCATCATTACATCGCCTGCTCGGCTGCTACATAGAAGCTTCGGTAGCCAGCAGGGGCCTCGCTCCATTACACCTACATGAATTTGGGCGCTTTCACGACCAGATGCGTTAAAACGAGTCAAACATTTGGAATGCATTGGGTACAGAAAGAGTCCAAATGCATGTACAATGTTGTGTAGTAAAGCGAGCCCCTAACTCAGGGCATACTCACGCCAGCCCTTCTTTTCTTATTCTGGTTGGCATTGCAGCGAGGTGCGCACAAGTCGTGCCGTAGATGCGGTCGGATACATTTAAGACAGCGATAGTACGAGTACCCCCTCGGTTGAAATGTGTCCCAGAGTTTTTTTTTTTTTTTTTTTTTTGTGTGTGTGTGTGTGTGTCCCAGAGTTACGAAACTTCGAGTCCAGCACGACTCGGGCCCTCCCTTCTTTCCCCGAATACAACGAGCGGTCACTATAGCTGTATTTTAGGTATCTTTCAGTCTAAATACAGCTACAGTGACCGTAGATTATATTTATGGAGAGAAGGTCGCCACACCGTTGTCGAAACGACAAAAAAGCATCTTCCTCAAGAAAATCGCCAGATGCGTGCGTTACTATTCATATCTTGCCACTCTCTGCTGGAATTTTTTTTTTTTTTTGAAATCTTTTTTGCCAGAACATGCACTCAAACTTCTTTTAGTTTCGACAAGGAACATGCACCCACACTTGGACTTTCTTACTTGTTTCTGGTCCTCATTTGTCGTATTGACTTAAACTTCGCGTTTTTTTTTTTTACCAGACACACGGGCGTCGCTCTTTTTTTTTTTTTTTTTTTAAATATACTCATGGAAATCAGGTCCATTCGCAAGTCAGAGGAAGGAGCGTGACGCCAGTGACGGTAGGAAGGTAGGAAGGTAGGAAAGAGCGAGGACCAAGGGCGTCAATCCACTGTACAACACTGAGCATGAATTTGGACCTTCTCTGGACCACGTGCATAATTCGTATCTTCTTCCAGAAAGCGTCCAGCTGCATGTAGTGTTCTGATCAGTTTAGGTCTTGGGTTCAATTCCCTTTGGCCTCATCATTGCCCTCATGTACCTTCCTGGGAAACCTTGGCGTCCTCCAGTGAGAGATAGGGGAATTATAGGCGGTCGGTCCCTCGGACACGGCGGACAGGCATTGAGCAGAGACTGCTCATGTTCGCAGGGGGAGGGAACCGGGGCAAGGTCCCACTTGCACTGATTAAGAGATTCTGGCCGTTGATCTTTGCAATCTACGGTCAGTATCCCTTAATTCGTGCAAGTGGGACCTAGCCCCCGGGAAGGGAGGCACAGCCACTGGACCTTAGGAGAAGCTGGGTCCTTATGCTACTGCCTGACCCCTGGCTGGTATGATGATGGTATCGCCCACTGCTGAAGCAGATATCGCACCTACTTGTGGGGCTGCAGCTCCCGCATCTTACTCGGTTCTGCCCTCCAGGAGGAAGGTATCTCACCTGCTGGTGGGTGCAGCTCCCTCCATGTTCCCTGGTTAAGCACGGCAGTGGCTGGCAAGGGGCTGGCTCTATTGGGCCTGTAAAACTATACTATGATGATAATGATAATTAAAGAGGCCTTGAAGACCTTCCTGTCCATATTTGAAGACTAACGGAATTGGTTGGGCTTTGACCTTTTTGTGTTTCCTGGTGCCCATTGTAGCGTGATCCTTCCTCGTTTGATGCAGGTGTAGCGGCTGGGACTCCCCTGCGAACCTGGAGGATGATGCCTGCTTCGCCCCTGGGGACGGCCCATTTCTTTTGTGAGCGAGGAGCTTATAAACGGGAAAAGAAGACAGCTGGATTGCATCCTCATCCTCGTCATAATCATCCTCCTCTTCTACTTAAAAAAAAATAAAAAATAAAAATAATAATAATAATAAAAAAGATAGTAGCATCATCAGAGCTCTTGAGGGACGCTGAGGCTGAGGCCGGGGGCAAGGTCCCACTTGGGCAAATTGGGAGATTTCGGCCGTTGATCTTTGCTATCTACGGTCAGTATGTCAGATGTCTTAATTCGTGCAAGTGGGACCTAGCCCCGGTTCTCAGCAAGCAGCTTCTGATCTTTTATTCCGGGTAGACTGTGAGGACCCCCGACTCAAAATTCTCATTGGTAATATTTTATTTATTTATTTATTTATATTTTTTATGTGGCCCGATGGACCACGGATCAGAGAAGATACTATACTTGAATTAGCCAAAAGGCCGAGATAGGTATTCATTGCCACATTGGTAATATCAGCCTTGGGCACTGGAAGGATGAATCCCTGAAAGAGCACATATAAAACGCCGGAGGTAGACAGAGGTAGACAGATTCCTGGAAGGAAGACAAGTATCGATGGGCTTTATCTCCAAGCGCTCGAGGGAGTTGCTTATCCGACTTGAACTTGCACTCACTCTCTTTTAGTCTGACCCTATTTAGATTTGTCGCCTCCTCTCTCTCTCTCTCTCTCTCTCTCTCTCTCTCTCTCTCTCTCTCTCTCTCTCTCTCTCTCTCTC